GGACAAACTTGCGGAAAAGGAACGAAAACTCACCGAAGCCAGAGTCGTCATACAGAAATTAAAAGACGAAATACACGAGGCGAAGATGTCCGCGTTGAGAGAATCGTCCGACGTTCGCAGCATCGCGGAGGAAGAGGTCGAACGGTCTCAAGACCGAACTCGCTTCCAAGACGGATACCCTGAAGGAAAGGGATCTGGACGTGGTTCGCTTGGAATCGGATCTGAAAGCCACGAGGAGAAAGTCGAAGCAGCCGCCACCTGAAGAGAGTGGACTCAAGCTGCAGCAAAAGCTGCAGGAACCCGTCCGCAAACTGAAAGACCGAGAGAGATCGCACGCCGACTTGGAAGAGGAGTTGGAAGAAAAAGACGACAAAATCAGTGCGCTGAAGAAAGAGTCGACGCTCGCTAAGACCGCGATGTCCATGTACGAAAAGCGGGTGGACGTCTTGAAAGAAAACCTGAAAACGGCTTACAAGCGATACGACAAGGAAGTAAAAAGCAGGCGGATTGTGGAGGCGGCCGCGAAAAAGGCAGACGAGCACGCGCAATCCATGGCCGACAAGAACGTCGAATTGCAGCGAGAACTGTTAAGACGGCAACCCGATGAGTCGTTGTACGAAATGGAAGTGAGCATCGGAGAGAAGGAGGAGTTGCGGCGAGCGCAATCCGATCTGGAGGAGGAACAGAAGACGGTTATGCGATTGAAGAGTGCGATCGAGGACCTGAAAAAGGACCAAACGCGTCATTCGGAGGTTCTTCGAGAGAACAGAAACCTGAAGGAGGAAGTGGAAGTGAACGCGGAAGGATCGAAAGTATCGACGACGAACTTCGTGCGTCGAAACGGACGCTCGGCGACAGAGACAGACTGATTTCGGACAAAGATCGAGCGACGTCCAACCTGAAGAAGGAAATCGCCACTCTCAGAGACGAACTTCGTGCCGAAAAGGACAAGGTGGCGACAGCCGTGAAGGAACGCAGCGACGACGACGCCCGAAGTTCGGTGACGCTCGAGAAGATAAAAGACGAATTGTGACTGGCGAACCGGGAAGCGGCGGCTGCAAAGGACCTCCAACGACGGTCGGCGACAAAGCTGGAAGAGACCGAGAAGCAGGTGGAGAGTCTGAAGGAACGGTTGGATGAAAAAGGTCGCTCGACTGCAAACGCGAACAAGGAGATCGCCTCCCTCAGAGAGGAACTTCGTGCCGAAAGGGAAAAGGTGGCAACGGCTTCCAAGGAACGCAGCGACGGCGACGCCCGACGTTCGGCGATTCTCGAAAAGATCAAAGAGGATCTGCGATTGGCTACTCGCGAAGTGGAGACTGCCAAAGACAGAGAACGAAGGTCGGCGAAGAAGTTGGAAGAGAGCGAGAGGGAGGTCGAGAGTCTGAAGGAGTTGTTGGACGTAACGGAGAAGAATCACGAAGCGAACCTTCGCGAGTTTCGTTCTTCCGTCGAGTCCGACAAGGCGAAGGCGATCTCAGATCTTGAAACGGCCAAGGCCGATCACTCTGACAGGACCGATATTCTCCGGACGGAGATTGCCGATCTTAAGGAAAAGCTGGCCGAGGCCACCCGAAAGGAGTCTTCGCTGATCAAGGATGTCGAGAAATTAACCGCACTGAAAGATGATAATGAAAAGGAGAGTAGGAGGATGGAAAAGCAGCTTTCCGATAAAGATCGCACTGCTATCGACTTGCGGAACGAGATCGACACCCTGGAAGAGAAAATGAAACGGAACGGAAGTAAGACGGACGATCAAATGACGGCCTACAAAGAAGAGATTGAAAGAAACGTGAAGAGGATGAAAGAGTTGGACGCTACGATCGCGAAGAAGATTCGAGAGGCGGCCGGTCTCGAAGACGAGATCGCCGTCCTCAAAGACTGGAAGGAACGTGACGGACGGAAAATAAAAGGATTGGGAGTGCAGCTCGCTAACAAAGGACGCGAGGCGACCGCTCTCAAAGACGAGATAGCTGCACTGCAAACGGACCTCTCGAGAGCGCGCGAAGAATGCGCGGACGACCGGAGTGCCGAACTTTCCATCCTTCTAGAAAAGACGAAAGACGAACTGCGACGGACTTCCCGCGATCAGGCGTCCACCAAGGAAGCCGAGATCAGGCTGAAGGCGAACCACGAAAATATCGAGAAGGAGATCCCGCAGTGGAAGCAATGGGTCGAAGAATTGAAGAAGGCACGCGACGAATCTCACGAATCCCACGCCAAGGAACTCGGATCGCTTCGAGACGATCTCGAGAGGGAGAAATCGGACGCTGAAACGAAACTTGCAACGGCGAAGGCGAGCCACTCGGACGAGATTGAAAATCTTCGAACGCAGATATCTTTTCTCAAAGAAAAGGAATCGAAACTGAGAATAGACACAGGTAAGTTGCATGCGGCCCTAAAGGAACGGGAAGAGAAGCATCTCGATCGGATAGCTAAACTGGAATCCGATAAGATTTCGCGATCGGCCGAAGCGGAAGAGGCTCTTGACGAGTGCGCGTCCGTCTCGGAGAAACTGAAGCTCGCGACCGATTCCGAACGTCGGTCGAAGGAGGACCTTGATAGGTGGCAAGCCGAGAAGAGGTCGTGGCAAGCGACGGCCGAACGACGTTCGGCAGATCTCGACAAGCTTCGCGACCTGCTGAATACGTCCGAGAGAGAACGCGCAAATCTTGAGTCCCAACTTCCGAACGTTGACAAGAATGTAACGGATTCGAAAGAAACGGATTCGTTGAAGCGGGAGCTGGAAAGACATCGACAGGAGATCCGACAACTCGAACGACTTCTGAGCGACGAAAAGAGGGAGAAGTCGGGTGAATCCAACGACAGAATGATTTCGGAACTAAGTAAAGAACTCAAAACGGTCATCGACGCGCGCGATAGACTGGTGAAAGAGAACACCGAAATGGAAAAGAGGCTATCGGAATCGGACAAAAGTCTGTCAAATTTGTACGACGAATCGATGAAAAAGGTTGTCCACCTCGAAGAATCGGTGTTTTCTAAGAACAAGGAAGCGGACGAATTGAGATCAGATTTGACGAAAACGAAGATGGAGATGGACGAGATCAAAAGACAACTCAACTTTGCCAATAAAAAAGTGGCGGAGGCGTATTCCGAAGTGACTCGAATCGTCGATAACTCGGAAGACGGACGATCCCACGAGGAATGTCGAGAACTTCTCACACGACGCCTCGATGAAGTGGAACGTTC